TCCTCAGGATTATGGTATTTCAACAGAAGACTTCGGGAATCCCAAAAGGATGACATACTCCTGTTGGACTTCCCTGAAGTGGTAATTGAGAAGCTGACTGCATGTTGGAGGTACAGTCTGTCCTCCATTAATGATGATAACTGGGACTGGGAACTCTGTTGCTAAGCAACCCATTTGCAAAAGTCACATGACCATGCCAACGTAATGATGGCAGCACTGGAAGTTCTAGTTGTGGTCATTAGGCAAATCCCGCAGGTTCATTAGGCATGACATGTGATTGCCATTTGCGATCGGCTTCCCAATGGACTTTGACACTGGCAGGGAAGGTTCCAAATGGTGATAATGTGACCACCAGCTTCGGCATGCAACCATCAACTGTGAGCTAGTTGCAAAGCACCTGAATTATGACCATGTGACTACAGGGCCATTACAGTGGCTGCAGATTCAATGACAGGCCACAAGTTTCTTTCTTCAGTCCATAACGTTGAATTTGTAATGATTAAATGATCATTAACTAAGGACTATTTGTAATCCCTTATTCATCTTGATTCTAGGCTAAAAAGCACCCAACATTGTAACCTTTACTTTTAGGTGAGCTGTTTCAGATTAATTATAACTTCTGCCTTTTTGTTTTGTTTTGTTAAGCCTTCCCAAGGCTATTTTTATTGACTAAATTTATCTGCCACCATTTCAGTGACTAGCGACTTGGGGGCTTTTTAAGGTAGAGTGATCAGGACCATATTTAATATTCGTGTATGGTTACACCACAGGTTTGTGTAATGATATGTCATTATTAGAAGTTTCCTCTTCCTTGTCCCCTTTCTTGTTCTGCCTATCCCACATGTATAATTTGCCTTTTCTAATTTTATATTATAATTCTTTAGTGTTCAGTTGTTTCTCCAGGAGATTGAGATGGGGAAGGATAAAAAAGTCAAGATAGTGGATGTGTCTGCATAATTGAAGCCCTGCCCTTTTGAAAGGGCTTGCAATGCTCACACCTGTAGAAAAGGACAGAACTTCAATTATTTTTTTTTGCAATCCCCATCTTCACAGTCTTTACTCTCCCCTGCAAATGTCCCTATAGATGTTCCTTATTTGGAAGGCTCACATATGTCAAATGCTACAGGCACCCATTAATATCTAGAGTATCTGGCTTCTATACAAGCTAGAATTTGGCTAGTCCTGGGTCTGACCTCCTACGGAAGGCATCCTTTGTATGAACAGTTTGTCGTGGCTGGCTCTGGCATTTAATGTACAGGAGGATCTAACAGCATTATCTTCTTAAATGTTATTGATGAGAGGGGGTGGGACAATCCAGAGGGCTCTGTTCTGACCTAGGCTTCCCAACAGCCTGAAGCAAACTTCTTGTCCCAACAAAAATGACTTTTATTAATTTACTGTGAATTCTGCTCATTCACATTCAACAAAGTCTTTCGAGGGAGGATTTACAGTCACAGACCTTATCTGGCTTAAAGAGCTGACAGGCTGATATCTGCAAAACTTGGCAAGGAATCCAAGAGCCAAGGTGGCGCAGTGGTTAAATGCAGCACTGCAGGCTACTGCTAGATCAGCAGGTCAGCGGTTCAAATCTCACCGGCTCAGGGTTGACTCA